GAAGCGCAAGATTTCTCCATTTTTCCAGCATCATTATTGCAACGGTTGGAAATATTTTGTATGAAAACGTTGTCACGTTGCCTCGATCAAATTCATTTTTGCACCGTATATACTGTCATTTCGGCTCCTGTCACAGCCGATTGCTGCGCAAGCCTGAAAGCAGCGGTTCGCGATCGTGACCATTTGATGCGCTTCTAACTTCAACTGTGCTTCTACAAACGAGTGTATAGTCGGTTACAGAATGGCTTAGAAACATGTTTTCTAATCAAGTTAAGAACACCCCGAGTTATCACAATTGCAAGCGACCGCCCACACGCTCTCGAAAATGGAATCAATGTATTATCACTGAAAAACCAGTGAACTTGGTTATAAGTCTAGCACTGCGATCAGCAAAATCTAGTTGAAAGAATTCAGCTAAAAATAATCAGGAATACTGCAGATTTTGCGGTAAAATTTTACTTTTACTTGGCCAAAATTAAATGAATGTAAAAGACAAGAGGAGAAGCTAAGTGGGGCTGTTTTTACTGAAAATTCACGAACACTCACTGATATTGTTGGGATACGTTTTATCGATTTAATCAGAAATACTATCATTGATTCGCTTTAAGAGAGCAGGCTTGCGTGGTAATCGGTTATGATAAAAGTCAAAGCAATACAGTAAATAACGGACCTTTGTTATATTCTTATCTGAGAGATAAATGAGATAAAATACAATAAATATATGTAGGTTTTTCCTGCACCTTCAGTTGCAGTTATCACATCTCGTATCAAGAAAAAGCACAAACACCGACATAGATATTGTAAATCGACATACCTATGTTTCTCGGCTGTAAAGTAGTAAATCCTATCGGACAGTACATAAATTTCGTCTACTGTGTGCGATAGTTGGAGCTGAAATGGCGGTACCTATTTGCAAACATGTTAGGTTATTATTAGCGTAGTTTTCGTTGTGCTGAAGTTTTCGTTGAACTACATTCGTGCGAAAATGAAAGTGACAAATCAGCGGCAAATAATTTATTTGTCATTGCTACTTTGTAATGTGAATTTTAAACTTCTTAAAACACTTTGGATCTTACGCCAATCTCGATCCTCTATCACTATATCACGTAAGGAAAGTTAGAGTTAGTTTGTTCTGAAAACGATATATCTGAGTTTACCAGTTTATTAATTTTTCAACGGATGTATTTTAATTTTGTTTAAAACACCATTTTACGGAATACAGTTAAAGTTACCAGAGGCTGACTTTTCTCTATTTTTCTTGTTTGTTTGCTTAAGATGGTCGGAAAGAAAAAGTCAAGAGATTTCTTCCCACATGATAAAGGAATATTATATATCGTAAAATTTTTGAAGCTTTAAAAATATGTAAAATTAGAAATAACATATGAGGATATACAATAAATGTACTAAATAATGTAATTTCAATGCTTCTACTTTATATTTTTCCTATAAATATCACGGGTATGTCAGTTTTGAAGCCTAGTTTCTAGAAGCGTTAATCCTCAAACATCTTAAAAAATAGTTAGTGTAAAGAAATATATAATAATTTTCATAAGATTATCATATAATTTTTGGTAGTGATGTTAGCGTTGCTGGTTTGCGACCATGCGTATAAATATTAATTACACCATCACCAATAGGGCTTTAGAGGCTAAAAATAAAATGGTATGTCGGTTTTGGTGCTTCTCCTCTACTGCCATTTCGGCCGCCGTCACAGCGGACTACACCGTTACGCAATTGTGAGAACTCGAGAGAAGTACTTTAACGTTACACGATCTCGCCTTTTGTTTCTTCGCTAACAAACACAGGAATCATTGATCTCGCGTGCGTATCGAGGTACGAATTCGGCGAGAATAAAATGACATTCAGCTCTGCCGGCTGTAAAGCAAATGCGCTTTCGTAATTGTAATAATTCCCGTTCCCGGGAATATTTATGCCACCCGCTGGTGGAAGTAAATATTGCGCGGGGAGGGAGGGGGGATGAGGCAGACCATGAACAGCTGCGTACCGGTCGTTCGGAAATGCAGATTTGGCACGACCGGGCGTGCGTGTGTTGTGTGTGCGTTACGAGCTATAAATGCATTCCTTGAACTGTCCGGACCGAGCGCGCGCAGACTCGCACGTGTTTCCGCAGAAATCGTCACCGTGGAAAAATAGTTTGTCTAACATCGTAGGGATTTACGCACCCTCTCGCGACTACCGCTTCCTCTTTCTCCTCCTCCTTGTCCCGGAGGTCCGTCGCGATCGATTCCGCGCCGTGTTTCGCGTGGTATCGCCGAAAGATAGCGAATATCGTAAGGCCCGCACTTTTATTTCGCCACGATTAAACCTTAAGTCGCGCTCGCGACCGACTGGTGACACTTACTCTTGAAATTCCTCGGAATCTCGCTCGGGGCGAGTGAAAAGCGGCAGTATTTTCATTCGTCGCTTCGAGAGAGAACCACTCGAAATCGCAAGAGTGAACGTTTCGCTCAAGCTTAGGAATCAACTTGGCAAATTCTGACTCCGCATGAGCGAATACTTCAACGATTAGGGTGAATATGTTTCTGCGACGCTGCAGTATATCGGATTCACTCTTCAATTTCGAGCGGGAATATTTACCGACGATTCAGAGTGGAAAATTCACCCTATATGAGCGAGAGGCTGCTCGAATTTTAGTGATTCGACGGTCACTTTATATTTCGCATGAAACTTCACTCCAAGAAATTTAGAGAGCACAGTCGGCTGCGTGAAAGCCTCACGATTTTTTTCCTCGATGAGTTTCGCAACGCATTCCGTATCCAATAGGAGAATTTGATTTTGAGTTATCTCAGGAGATACGCGTTTTTCTGTCGGATACGGAATTTCGAGTCGAAATATGGATGCTACTTTAACACCCTTAAGAATAGTTTGCGCATCCTTAGACTATTAGAAACCTATTTTGACGATACTGACACTTATTAACGTCTCTCTCGAACATTTAATTCTACGGATATAATTTTAATGCTACCTAGAATAACCTATTTTGACGCTAAAACAGCGAAAACCGAGATTTAAGGCAACATCAGAATCCAAGTTAGAGCAAATTATATTATTAGAATCGAAATTGAACCTATTTTGCTATCTTAGTTCCTATTGCGTAGCGGAATTAGAGATTTAACATAAGGCCAACATTTCGACTTCGGGATCCCGAGTCGAAATTAAAGATTCCACATTAAGTCTTCAATGGAGGAAAAAAGGTGAAAATATGTTCCCGCTCGTAGCATCAGAGGAGCGCAATAAATGCTCCTTTAATGCTGCAAAGGGAATTTAGTTCTCCAACGTCTAAAGTTTAGTTCTACATTAAGTTTTTAGGCGAAGGAAACGGGAATAACTTTCCCATTCGTCGCGCCAAAGGTGCACAATAAGAGACCGTTGAATATTTAACGTAGAACTAAATTAGATTTAAAGTGGGGCTAAAATTTCAGCTCGGGACACGTTGCGAAACTCATCGAAGAGAGACGCTGGAACAACCTTCCATCAGCTGACTGTGAGTGCACATACGTGGAATTGACAGATCTATTGAACATCGCGCTGCAACTTCGACGTTGCCTGGGGTTTCCTTTATCACCGATCGGTCTTAGAAAGAATTATTAAACGCCCTTTCCGACACGCTGCACGGCACTCCGCCGAAGAGGAATTATTCGCCCCCCCCCCCCCCCNATAGACGTGCTACGTGACAGGAATATGAACTGATCGAAGAAACAGGACGCTCTATGAATCCAGTCTCGACCCTTCGTCGAGCGTCTATTTCTCCGGGTTTCTCTTCCGCGAGCTTGCACCGTGACACCGACGTTGATTCACCGGGGAAGGGAGGCTAAGCCCGGTGGCTAACTAATCGAAATAATTAGTCGATTCCGACGTCTCGCGGCCCGAGGAAATCTCGCGGGCCACTTTACGCGTTTTTCCCCGCGGCTAAGTGAGAAAGACCGCGCGACGGGCCATCGTGGAAGTTTGTTTTCCCCTTCGGTTGACGGGTGATTAATAGCTCCCGGTGCCCGGCGATTCCCTCCGCTCCCGGCGGTGCTGTTGAACGAATGAAGTTTCGTTCCCGATATGTTACGTCCCATTAAGCCCGCGAGATTTCGCGAAAATCATCGACCGGGCTCTTCCCCTCCAGCGGCATTCGGCGCGCGTTGTCTCCCGCGTTACGCCGACTTGACGCGAGTTCGAGGGGGATTATTTTAAGTTACAAGAGAGAGAGAGAGAGAGAGAGAGAGTACGAGACGAAACGCGCTGAAATCGCCGCGGCAGGAATCACGTCGCGCTTGTGTCGCGACGAGAATAGGGGGGAGAAAAGAATAACAATAATCCGACGTTCGGGAAATTTAATGAAATTTCAGCGTGACGCGGAAAAATGTCCGGTACGTGTCGCGTCAATTTTCAAATTCTGGGCCGTTCTTTCATTTCTTTTTTCCGTGATGTGCTAAGTAAAAATAATACAATGAACCTTTTTTACAAAAATACCCGGAAAACGTAGTATTTAACGCGAAAACTGTTTAGATCATCACATTTTTCTAAATAAAAAAAAAAGAAAAAATTGAAAATACATCTATTTTTGAGGCGTTTACACTGGTCTTCCCCTCAAAGAAGCAAAGATGCGGTAAATAACTGCAATTTCTCTCGCGCGTTTGCTTTCACTCGCTTTCTGATAACGTTCACGATATATTACGTGCAATTAGTTGCAAGACGTAGATCGAGACGTCGATAATTATAAAACCGTCAGAGGGTGTTCAACGTGCCGGAATGAAATATTAATTGTAGAAAATATCAATTTCGGAGGATATTAATTAGACAAAGAATATACGAAGTACACGCTCGATATTCAGGAATGCGAATTCAAGAAGCTAAAGTATCCTTTCATCTCCTCCCGGAATCGACAACGCGTCCCCCCCCCCCCCCCCCCCCCCCNGCCCCTCTTGCACGCCTGTTCCAAGCGATTTAATCGCGCTCGACTACTCCCCCCCGACTCTAAGTTACGTCTCTCTTTCGCTCTTCTTTTCCCCGTTTTACCCGGCTCGTCGCGCGCAGATAGCGATGAAAGGCAGCGATTGTCGACGACGACGACGTTCACGTGGCGAGATACACAATTCCGGTGAGCGATCGAGCGGTCTCCGGCTGCGGTCTGCGGCTTCGCGTGAATCCGTTCGCGTGATATCGTCGGGACGTCGCGCACTTACCTGAATCGGCGCGATACTCCCTTTTACTTGTCACCTGCCGTAAAGGAAGCTCGTAAAGGAAGGAGGAAAGAAACACGCTGGTATCAACAGCGAACCGGCTGCAGTCGTCACCGTCGTTTACCGGGGTAATCGCTGACGCGGCTATATACAAGATCGACGCGGCCGACGTGAGAATGGGAACACGTGAGAGCGTGGTCGAGCCCTGGTAGGGTAACGCGAAGCCTAAAAAGGTATGGAGGCCCCGATCTCCCGGTCGAAGGATCCCTCGGTCATGTCGATCGACCGGACGACGCAGCGGAGGAAGCCGAGGCTGGACCTGGCGCCGTCCAACGAGCTCTGAGTGCCGACCGTCCTCCTGGACGGCCGGGCGAACCTCCTCGCGGTTCGATTAGGCCATGTCCGGTAGACGGGCTCGACGCCGCATCGCTCGAAGGCACTCCAGGTGGTCGAGGATCGCCGCGGCGGCAGGTGGGTGTGCGAAGGGCAGCCGCAGTGCTGCCAGGACAGGGACGGCGTCCTACACCTGAACACGGGCACCCGGAAGCCCTCCGGCGGGCGCAGGATCGGCAGGTCGTGCAGCTTCAAGGCCGCCTCGGCCCGCCTCGGAGACTCCGTCGTCCAGCCGAGCGCAGCCGAGCGGGTCTCCGCGTCGAGCGAATCCTCACCCGTCGCGGATCCCTCCGACACTCGGGCGTTCCTCTCGGCGAGCGGGTGATCCGCGGGAGACCGGCTGGTGTCCCTCCCCGGCGTCTCGCGACACGTGCATCAGGAGGAGGAGTTGGCGTCGACGGTCGAGCTCGTGGAGGCGTCGTCGTCGAGGGAGCTCTGCGTGCCGACGGTCACTTTGTTCCCATTGTTGCCGCGAGCCGCCGGCTGGTGCCGCTCGTTCGCGTTCTGACGGGGATGGCGTCTCTTGTAGGGCTCCCAATCCCCAGGACTCCGACGTCAGTGCGTCGCGATCACGTCCGGGGCGCTCTTGGTGCTTTCTATGCTGAACGGCCGCCTCTGGTCCACCTCGATCACCGCCTCCGCGCGATACCGCGGGTCCGGCTGGCCGCGCTTCGGCGTGCCGGCGGACTGCTGCGAGCTGGAGGTCGTGGTGTTGCTGGACCCGTGCCCGGACCCGTAGACGGAGCTGCCGTACCTCTCGCCGGAGCCGACGGTGGTCTGCCGCGCGAGCTTCGGCGACTGCCGGTAGACGCTGGGCTCTCTGCTGGGCTTGGGGCTCTGGAACCTCTGGTACGACGGGTAGTCCAGCTGCTCCGGGTACTGGCCGGGCTGCGCCATGGGCAGTGGGTAGCTGGACTCGTGAGTCGACCAGCCGGGCGGCGCCGGTATGGGGTTGTGCTTCGGGCAGACGCCCATGCTGCCGTCCCTCCCGCGGGACGCCGGGCTGCAGCCGGAGCATTGGGAGATCTGCGAGCTCGGCTGCGAGCCCGACAGCTGAACGCTCTGGTGAGACCTCTGAGGGCTCTGGTGATGGTGGTGGTGGTGGTGGTAGTGGTGATGATTGGTCCCGTTCTGAGAGCTGGCCGCGCGTACACCGAAGGTCGTGAAGCCCAACGGCGCTACCGCGTCCGGCATGCGCGGCTCGAACAGGCTCTCCCTCGTCTGGCAGCAATTGTCGCGCATCTCCGGCTCCTCGCTGCTTTCCTGCAGCCGCTCCTGCGTCGCGTTGCTCACGTTGTTGCTCTGGTGGATGTCGGTGATGTCGCCCGCGTTGTACGCCATCTCGAGGACGAGCTCCTTCGTGTATTCCTGAGGTATCATCGTGCTCGGTGGCATGAGCTCCTTGCTAGGCAGCACCTCCAAGCTCGGCGACTCGCTGCCGCGATCGCGCAGGTCTGTGCGGGAAGCCGAGATCGGACACGGCGTCGACTTGCGACCCAGCTCGTCCAATCGGTTCTCCCGGGACTGCCGGATGTGCTCCTGCAACGAGAGAGGCGTACCGATGATACAGGGCGGGCCACGAGCCTCGTGAATAGGAACTCGCGTAGTTTATATCGTAAATTATGTCTGTCGCGTAAATATGAAAAGATTGTTTACGCAATTCAACCGATACGCAGGAGCAAACGGTCGTTTTATTGACCTTAAACCCGCCGGGCTCGTGCGGATATTTTCCTTCCATCCCGAAATCTAATGCTTCCGATGCTGTTTTCACGATATTAAAGATAGTCCGCGTCCAATAACATAGTTTATAGACTGATGAAAATCTATCTTGACGATACTAATATTTATTCATTTCCCCGTTGAACTTTTAATCGTACGGATTTAATTTAAACGATACCTCGAGCAATTCGTTCCGACTGAAACAGCGAAGACGGAAGTTTAAAATATCATCAGGGTCAAAGTAGGAACAAATGATATGATTAGGATCGATATTGAATCTATTTTGCTATCTTATTCCCTATCGTGCGGTAGAATTAAGGTAGTTGGACCGTGACAATACTTAGATAGGTGGAGGTTAATATAACACGAAGAAGCTCGGCAAATCTGTGTTAAATGTTTGTAAATATATTTTATGATATAAATAACGTTTTGAAACTCGTAGGGAAATATTTCGATTGATGCGCTGTTAGAATTTGAGAAGATTTCTGAGAAAAACAATATTTTACAGACCAACTGTTTAAAATGTTCAATAGATGACGAGAATTTCGACTCGGAATTTTGTGCGGAATTCTTCCCGTGACTCGCGACACGCAGAATGCGCTGTATTCACGAAGAATTATTCCAGTGACAAATAAGCCTCTCTTCAAGAATGTGTGCACGATCAAATGCAAAACAATGTAGACGATGGCGCCAGCGTGTAAATTTATCGATTCAACGCAGTTTCATTTCATTTCATGTAACCGTTACACTTCACTTCACGCACGTCTCCGTGTAACGCATTTATTTTAATGGGGCAACAAACAATTTCTCTATTAACAATGCCGCGAATCACTTTGCAACGCACCATTTGATCCGCGTGTGATTGCTGTTGAAGCCAAATTAACCCGCAAAATAAAGCAGGAGACGCGTAATTAAATACGACCAATTCAACTAGAAATTATGCACGATAATGTATTAATAATAATTAACCTACCCCGACCCCTGTGCGAACATGCACAGACGAAAACTTCATAACGACGCAGTTTATAATATTTCGTATGACACAAACGTGACATGTAATGCAATGGATATGTTGCGCATTATTACGTTGTAACAATAACGGGAGAAGTTTATACGTATGCTCGGATGCGTGCGCGGATATTCGTATCGGCGTAGATGTTAATTGGGGAAAATGCGATTGCGTTAAACGCAAGCCGAAACATTACCGCATTTTGTCCCGCCGCATAATTCAACGAGCGAGCGATATTTAACGAAAGTATCGTCTTATCGCGAGATAAATCGCGTCTCGTTTCCATTGTCGGAAGGAATTTTGGAAGAACTACTCAGGACATTTGACGCTCTCTCTCTCTCTCTCTCTCTCCAAGCGCTTGAGGCACCGTCGGAAAACCGGCGTTTCCGTGCTCACTCGCGCGGACACGGGTCGGGATAAATACGTCCCCGTCGTTTCTCGAACTTTAACTGCGGCCGATAAAGGCGCCGGATCATCGAAGCGATGTCACGTCAGCGTGGGTCTATAAATTCCCGCGGCTCGCTAAAATATTGTGCGATCGTAAAAAGAAAAGCTCTCCCGCGGCGAGTGGGCCCGAGTGCGCGCGGTCGATTTTTAATAAAACTCTCGACCGAGTCCCGCTCGTAACGAACAATTCTATACAACTGGGGACGAGTATTTACGGACGGGGTAAGTCGGGAGGATAGGCGACTCCTCTCGGTAGAATATCCGTCGAAATATAACGCGAAACTCCCGGCGTATTTCCGGCGGAGACCTCGTTTCACGATCTTTCTCGTTCGCTGAGACGACGAGAGACGGAGCGAATCGTTGGGAAAATAAAATTCACTCACCTGGATGATGCGATGATCGCGGACGAGCTTCCGGACGCAGTTGAAGACGAAGGCGAAGCTCATGCCAAACATAATTAGGGAGAAAACCACGAGGATTATGACGATGTGCTGCGAATCGATCAACCGTGCCTTCTTCTTCTGCAAAGGAGGAAATTGAGCGTACTCTCTCGATCTTCCCGCCCGCTGCTTGTTACGACTAATCTATCAATTCTAATCGTATCGACGTGAAATTCTGAACGGGTGTAAAGTGCGAGTATCAGGTGAAAAAGTCTTTCCTTTGAATATCCGCCCCTTAGATTCTAAATTGGTAGAAATCGATGAGCGATACCGGGGGAAACAAGTGCATCCGCCGGATATCCAACGGATATCCGAGACCAGTTTAGAATATCTCATGGTTATTGCCATATCCCGAAATGATATCCGTTGGATCAATCCTTCGGATGAAGTGCGCTGTATCATTTCCCGGGTAGGTTCCTCCGAAATTTCTTCCCAAACGTATGAACGCTCGCTAGGTGCGCGAAACTATCTCCACGTTTTTCGGCCCCCGACGTTTCGGCAGTCTCTTTCGTAGCTCGAGCGTGGAATTTCATCCCGACGACGCGCACAGACAGACGGACAGACACCAAGGGGCAAATCGAGGCGTCCTTCGTAAAGCGCAACGTTCATGACTATTTTGATGCTGCAGTCCCATCGAGTAATTACAGGCGCGCTGTAATTCGCGATTGCATTCGTTATTCGAGGCAGGAGGGAGGAAGCGTGAGAGAGGGAGGGTAGCACGCTAATTATCGTTTCGGAGCTTTTCTCCGCAGGCAGTCGCCTTCGGCAGTGCCACCCCTCGAAATTCACGCGTATATATTCGTCGATCCGACGAGCACCCTCCGCCGACGTCGTCGCCACGTCGTCGCCGATTCAGACCGGTTGCGAAGGCGACGCGTTAAATGCCTCTGCGAAATTTCAGGAGAGCGTCACGCATTACACGGGAGGTAGGGGGACGAGAACCTGCGAAACATCGCGACGCACAGAATGCACAAAGCGAGGAGGATCGACGCGATCCGTCTTCGTCCTCCCGGTCTCCCTTCGCTCGCGTCTCTCGCGTGCCACCCTTTGTCTTGTCGAATGGCGGGCGCCGCCGCCCCCGTCGCGGATTTCGCCTGTTTGCCTCTCGTTTACTTAAGTGGTCGCTGCGCAGCGCGGGTATCGAGCGTGTCGGGACACGACACTCGTCGAAAATGTTACTTTACATCGCGCGTGCTTAATTTAAGTACCCGGCGCACCGCTAAGCGCATTCTCGACGTGCTCTCGCGGAACGAAGGAGAGCGAAGCGATAACTTTCTCCTAACGAGTCTCCCTTAAATACGGCGGAGTTCCCTCGGTACAGTTCGTACAGTTTCAGTTTTTAAAGAGTCATGTCACATTTCAAAACCACGCCAATCGGAACCAGATTCACACCGTAAAGAATAAATCGTCGATCTTAACATTCGTCGTATCGTCTCGGAAAGTCCGCTTTAAATTTCATATTAAAACGACATATTCGTCTTATAAATTACATCTGCTGTCAGCGAGTAACTCGACCTGCCGTTTCCACTTGGAAATCGGCACCTCAGATTTCAAGGTACTACGAGATACATAGTTGAGAGCGCGCAAACGTTGAACGCGCAGATTTGTCGAGCTTTTTCGCGCTTTACCAAACATCACCTTCCCAACAGTATTATTACAGGCGCAATGTCTCGAAAAATGGCTATCGCCTGTAAAATCGAGTCGGATCCCCGCGAGTGACTTCTTTCCCGAGGTTCCTCTGTGAGAGACGCACTTCTTAGATTTTCCCTCTCAATCCAGTTGACATCAGCGAGCGAGACATATTTTAAGTGGTCCAACGAGCGCGCTCGAAGATGTCGCAGATTGTGCGGGAATCCATCCATCACGGATGATCCACAGGTATGCGCGTTAGTAATCTCAGCGTGGCGTCGCTGAAAGCAGTTTGACCGGAGGAAGCGCGGCGGCGCGCGGAAAGTCTCGCGCGGAGCGTGCATTACGCGACATAATGTATGCAAGTCACGTTATGCATTCAATGCTTACACAGTGATAACTAATTTCAACCGGGCCGGTCTTGCGCGACGCCGACACGGAATAACACTCGCTGACATTATTGCTACTCGTGGATTCAGCCTGGAACGTGCCATTAAACTGCGAAGTAATTTATATCGGCATCACATGTTATCCGCCGTTGTTCGCCGACGCTCGCCCACATAGCTCAAAGAGCTCGCCGTCACCCTCTTCTTTTGTTCCCCCTCCCCCCGTGTATTCCTCCAGCGTGCCGGTAGTCGCGCTATAATTTCCCGGCGTTTGTCTTTCGCGCGAAGGCTCGTGCTGGAGTGGACGCTCCGGCAACGAAAACACGTTCTACCGGCGCCAAAATGCTTAACGCGACGGAAAATCTGCCTCGTGTGTGCCGACGTATAATAAATGTTTGTGACGTAAAAGTACAATGTGTATTATTTCGAGAATCTGTCGCGCGCGCGTGTGTGCGCGTGTGAAATTGCATATTAATCCGTCGCGGTTGAGCCTACCATTGAGTCCACCTCGACGTCGCGTCTCGTTCTAGTCGATAAATTGTAAACCGATTTTGTAGGTTTATTTCGACACGCTTCTTTCTCGCTGCTTAACTTGGCCGCACATAGGAAGGCCCGGTAACTTTTCTGACGCTTTTACTCAAATATTTGCAGAAGTATGCTTATCTTTGGAAATTACGGATATTACGGTCTGCATGTGGCGACGCACAAAACGCAGTTCGCAGACGCACAAGCAAAATGGTATTCCATCGCACTAAGGGGCGCGCAAATCGGTCGTGCGCAGCGAATTGAATCAAGTCCAATGTTTTGCGTTACAGCAACTGCATCGACCAATCGTAGCAAGGAATAACTTTCCCGCTACCGTTTGCGAATTGCTTCTTGCGTATTGCGACTTATGCAGAGACCTTTACAATTTTGAATGCGCGAGAAAGGATAAGCTTGAAAAATTGGTCGCAATTTGGCACACCTTTTCACGTTTAACCTTTCTTGAGAATTGAGCTAGTCTATCGGATCTCGTCTAGTTATTTTTAAAGATTTCGGGAGTTATTGCATAGGAAAATAATATTGAAACATAAAAATTCAAGATATCGGGTCGAATATGGTGGGTGCAAAAAATAAAATATTAAATTCTAGTGAAATTGTGAATTATAGAGTTTTTGTGGTTACTCTGAATACGAAAATAGTATCGAAACATAAAATTCCAAAACAGAAGATCCAATATGGTGGTTGCGAGAAGTAAAATATCAAAAACTTTAAAGAAAAAAAAAAACTATCGGAAATACAAACATTAGACATGAAATGTTATGTAAGGACCGTTCCAATGGAGTAATCGATGGATTAATTTAAACGGAAATTGTGAAACTGGCCCTGAGACAGGATAATGTATTGATTCTATACAGAAAGAAGTGAGAACTTATGCATACTTGAAAAAAATAATTCTATATTTGTACGTAATAACAATTCAAGATTCAGCAGCTATAAGAATTTAATTTTAGCTTGGGTCAATTTGACCCGTGAGTAGAGTTAATAATACACTCGATATAAGCCCAGCCAACACCAAGCATCAGTTACAATACATCTATGTTATAATTTCGCACTCAGTAATGTAAATGTAACATAGCAGCGAGTGTTAACACAACATTTACATTACTGAGCGCGAAATTATAACATTGATATAATGTAACCAATGCTCGACGTTGACTGGGATATTACTCCTGGATGTATCGTTTCATCAGTTAAATACTGAAATATTCAGACGAATGCGAACTACACGTGCTACTGTCACGAGGTAAATAAATCTCTACGGATCGGTCGAGAAGAAAAGTCGAGAACACGACTCGAAGGCGGGTTTAAAGCTACGGCGAGAATACGGCCCGGCGAGGGAACCACAACAATTATTACACCCTCGGATGCATTAGCGCGCAGTAAAATAATAGGTACGTATCGGCGGGGAATGGAAGCGAGATAATAACCGCGATACGATTGAACTTTAAAACGGATACGTGACCAAAGGCTGTATCGTCGCGTAATACGATTGCGCGCGCCGCACCGCCGCACGATGCATTCTAGGCGCGTCCATCGATCATACTTTTTTATTAGCGGGAGAAATTTTTTTCCCTCCCTTCGATTTTTTTTTATCGGCCGGCCAACACGTCGCGCGAAAAATGCGCCGGCAAATCGACGACGGGACGGAGAGAAGCGACGTGACAAGCTGGAACCGCAAATCGTGCCGAGAGACTGCCGACGTGAGCGGCCAGCAATTACGGGGATCGCGCGGATATTAAGTCCCCCTTTCCGTCGCGTTGGAGCATGCTATTATTACGCATCCGGTGGCCGGATTTTTCGGCGTTATTCCTAAGCCGCTCTCGCAACTCTCTCCCTCCCCCCTTTTCTCTCTTTCTCTCCGCCTTACACACTCTTTCGCTCTCACCTGAAAGAAGTTAAGCTGCAAAGCCACGTCGTCTCGTATGCGCGCGGACGAGTAATGCGGCCAAGAGAGAGAAGAGCAAGAAGAGGGATGCACCAAGTGGATGCTTCCTTCTGCTTCCGCGGGTCTGAGTGGTTTATTGTTGCGCTCATACGCCCGGAATCATTGCGCGTTTTCATGAATGCGCGTACATACTGTTGTATATTGTGACAGCCCGCTGCAGTGCGCAAGTGACAACTTTCGCCGGCTCCGCCGGCGGGAAATTATGCGATAAGCGACGCAGACTCCGGTTTTGCGACTCCTTTTGGTCACCGTGTAATCGCACGGGCATTATGAGGTAATCAGGGCGTGATTCGAGGAGACTCGCACGAGTCGCTCGAGTTTTCTACACAGGACGAAATTAGTGTCAATTCAAGACTCACATTCTCATATATGTGCGTGCAAGAATATGTAAACTTGTATGATGATAAAACTCGCTTACGCGAGTAAATTCTATATATTTCCACTAAACATTTCATATTATTATTATTATTTAAGAACAATTTTCATGAATTAAGAGGGAAAAATATTGGATGGAACGAACTATTTCTTCAAATTAAGAATCGGATTAGTTTGAAGATATCGTTCTTTCTAATGTTTTA